AATACGACGAGTCTGGTCCGGGTATTGTGCACCGCAAGTGCTTCTAAGCAGCTTAGATATGGTTTCATATTCATATTCATTTATATCCCTCATCCTACCTCACCTTATTTCGTTTCACTTTCGGTGGAGATTTGTATTCTCCGCTATTGTTCTCTGGGGACTTCTTTTCGCTTATCGAATTGTTTCGTAAAGCTGACCTGTTTGTACCTTCTCCTGTTGTGGTACTTATTCAGCTATTTCGATTTCGCATTGCATGTCCCTAGCAACCAAAAGCCATCTCTCTGCTCAATCGTACGTAATAAATTTTTTTAAATGAATTGTCGTCTTGTCTATTTATGAACCTCAATCTTCTACGTTTACTCCTCTCTTTGTAGCATTTGCCAGCTCTGTGTTTGTATGCGCTCTATAGTTTGAGGTACTTTCGCTCCCAGTGTGACGATAGTTGAGATACCAAACTCTTCCAAGCCGATACTAATATTTATCTCCATTGTCTGCCACGATTAGAAATGAAAAATCGGAGGCCGACGCTGTTTCAATTTTGGCATATTTCATTCGGATGTAAGGTAAACAAACAGGTTGCAAGTGTAAGAATGTTTTACTTGGATTTTCTGATACAGATATAATGGAACCGTGATGTATTTCGCGTTTATTATGTCTGAAACAGCATTTCACCTTAACAATTGTTATGACTTTATCTCTACACTTTGCTTGTCTTTTTGGCACGCGTGACAATGTTCCGTTCATTCGAAGGTTCTTGCTCTACCGAATCGTGTTATCCACAACAGGCAGTCTTGAAAATATTATGCAAACACAGTATCGCTTGATCTGAAAAACTCCGTACGCAACTATCCTCAGTTGCATAGAATTATTTCCGAATCTTAAAATTCCTCGAAGCAGCTTCATTTTCCCTGTGGCTTTCACCTTGAGGTTGTCAATTCATCTCAGTGTAACCTATGTGAAACCAATGGAGAAGAGTCACTCTTACTGAAAACAAATAACTTGATAGTTTTGGCGAGCCAATCCACATTTAATTAATTACTCTGTGAGTGGGAGTAGATTAGTAGACTAGACTTCTGGGAAAATTGCGCTCCGTACAGTTGTTTCATTTGTGTTGGATCCATTGATCATTTTGTATGTGTCGACTTGGGCCCGTTAGTACTTATTGCAACATGAAAATTCCACAGTTCCTCCCTTATTCTGGCACTAAAAGGACGATGGTTGACGTGGGGATACCGGCCAAGCTAAACCTTCCCTAACAGTAGGTTCTGCACGTTCTATCCGAATTTCACTGGAATCCATCAAGCAGTTAACCTTCTAGGAACTAATAGTTCTTTATTGGGGACGGAAATATGATACGTTTGACTGGACACCAACATCAGCTGAAGGTCTCTGATCTGTCTTCAGTGAGACTGAAAACTGCAATGCTGAGAGCTGCCAGTGGGTGTAGCTTAGAACTGATGGCTTTTTATTTCGAATAAGATTGGTGTTGACGACGAGAACAATTATTTATGCATATCCTGCTATCAGATGAGACGCGATCGCAAAAGAGTTGCTATGCTGAGTTTTATCTTTTACGTTTGAAGAAATCTTTGGTGTAGGGAAAATAAAACAACACTTAGAACATCCTTAATTAAGTACCAGGTGTACACTTCCACTAGTTTCCCTGTTATGTTCTGTTCTTATGCTCAGATTCATAAGGAATACCAACCCCACTGGAGTTTGGTAGAGCATTCGGTGGTGTTGGTTCAAATACCGGACAGTGCCATTCTGGTCTCTCCGATCGACATCATAACCTTGGGAACTGTATCCGTTCCATATCAGATAGGCACACTTGGAGGTTGATTGTAAGCGGTCACGGGAGACTGTATCAGTCCTTGCGGCCAGTGCATGAGCTTGATTAAACTCGGTCAGCGGTTTCAACGGTAGGCTACAAATGGCTGTGCTGACTCGATCATACCTTACTCATTCAGTCGGAACGTTTAGTCAGCAAATGGTAGGCGTGCAGATAATACAATGCTATTCAGTGATTTATTGAGGCGCAGAATTAGACCAATTGCAGCGTTGCTCACACGGTCGACACGCGCTTCGTGTGTGTACACAGCGCAGCAAGTCCAATATAACCTTTAACTACTCACCGAACGTTATTAACTATTTAAGTGGCGTGCCGTACTTTGCAAGTAGTTTGCTGAAAAGTGCTACAAATAGATGTCATGAGAAAAGATGGAACCAACTCAGGATTCCTGGGAACTGCATACAAGATTTGTCTTTTGTATTGTAGGATAGCTCGGCGCCATATTTTGCCCATACAGCACAATAACATCTAACTGAATATACGTTGATAAGCTGGTTTCATTTCTTTCCTGTTCTTGACATTCACACACAAATGAGCCTACTCTCAGTTATTAATCCAATCTTCTATGTAGTTCAGCCGGTATAGCGTCCGCTGCAAATAGAAGTGAGTTCCAATCCATTCGTGGCTCTCTATCTTCCAGTAATCAGGTGACAAAAATACACCATTGAATTTTAAGATTACCACGCGCGCGATTTCAAACCGAGGTTTATCGATCGCTGATTGTGTCACGGTAGTTGTATTTATCAACTTGAAAATGATTATCTTTGATTACTACATATATCACTTTTAGCAAATCGATTTTAACCAATTTAAATAATCTAGTTTTGTGTGCACAGAAGCTTCGGAGACAATCAGTCAAATTACCGTGGATTGGATTCTGCTCCTCGCTCCCCCCCACCACGGTTGTTCGATAAACCGCTGTAATTACCAAACAAGTTGCTTTATAAATACCTGATTGCTTAACGCTGTAGCGAATGAGGAGAGTAAAAGAAACGCAAACATCCCACAGTATTTGCCTCCTCTCTTTTATAATGTTCTACCATTAATCTGAACCGTTGTAACTTCAAGTGAATCTATTCACATTTTACAGGAAATCTCATCATGTGATTGTTAATTCGGCCGTCATATGATACCTATTGGACTGGGTCAATCACAATGCCCGATTAGCTGGAATGAACTAATTTTTTCAAAGGCCAGATGCATCGTGTGACTGAGTTACTCGGCCAAACCAAGGTGACATGTTGCGCTGTAGTCAATCCAACCACAAAACAACACACAATATATTTTGTCCACATTAGGGATTCCGTGGCAGAATGAAATACGCAAACTTTTCATAGTTCAGCTTCGTTCCTACTACAAAATAGAGCCCTGAGTAAAGTAGTATCTTACTTTCCCCACTCTGTTCATTGCAATGAAAAAAACCAGGTTGTCAACATCTATTAATTGGATTAGTTATTTCTAAGCTGTTGATTTATTGAACGCAGAAGTTTCGTATGAAGTTGAGCAATATACCTCTGCGACGTTATGTGAATCCGTTGTGAATCCAACAAAACGCATTACACTAGGAAATCAACAAATTGATTAAACTTGAACAGGCAAGTTAGAAGATGACCACTGTGAGAGGAATTCCTTTCAAATACTCTCATCGGTCGCGTAGGTTAACACTGAACAAGATGGACAAATGAAGCGAATTAAGAAAACTACACCTTTTCAAATGCAAGTGAATCCGTTGTAACTTCAAGTGAATCAAACCAATCGCATTTCATTGGGAACCCCACAAGATGATTGCTGTTTCGCCCATCAAACGTTACCGATTGGACCGGGTCTGTCTAAACCCGTCACTACCCCGTAAACAAACAAAAGTACTTTTTGAGTGAGTTATTGAGAGAGAGTGAAAATGTTTGTGGGTTGGGATGCGTTGTTCGTATCTCCATCCCCGCCCGACCCACGCTGAAACGTTAGGTCCGTGATGGTTGATCAGGTGTGCGTCGTAGACGCTAATAAATGAACCCGGCGGTAATCGACCTCTATCGGTCGAGTTAAGAAGCGAAGTAAGTCAAGATGGATTGATAAATGGATTACCCAGACGTGAGTGTTTTGCATGATTCATGGCACGAATGGATTCAGTCTTGACCCTCAAGATCCTAGTGAGAGTATTCCAATGCGGCCGTGATTCCCTCAAATAACACGGATTCCTTCAAATCAAATGCGATTATTAAAATATTTCTGACATTGAAACGCACGCTTGACGAAATTTTTAGCAGGCATAAGCTGAAGGTGTGAAAATTGCAGTTTCTTGTCCCCTCGAATCACTCGCCACACAGATGAAAAATGATTCCTGTTTCATCCGCAATGAAAAACATCCAACTTTTGTTGATTATATTTAGACTAAACTGGAATAGACCCCGATGGTTAATGGTCTGTACCATCTTCACCCCAACGATAGGCAAAAGGTCGACCTGCCAAACCTAGTCTACTGGGTTTACATGACTGTTTATTTTCAACAATACACGAACTGCCCGCCTCCATTTGCCTTTAATCACTAAGTGCGCCGGAAAACACTGTCTACCGGGGGACTGCTTCTGTATGAAGTTATCCATAAACGCACAGTGGATATCCAGGATACTGTAATTTTAAATATGCTCTAAATTCTACGAACTTTCTCATGCACCCGGCTTATTGTCTCTAATAATGATGGAACTTTCTGGCTCATATCTTCCATTCACAAAAAGTTTCATTGATTAAACAAATATCAAAATTTATTAAAAATCAACCTTTTTATAGCTGTCGGATAATGTACACGAACATGGTTAGATGCGTGATTTAAGATTTGGTATCACTAGCAATGCTTTCCAAACATGCCATTCTCCAATTCTGTCGGTCAATTTGTCCTTCAGGATCACCCGTCATGATTTTGGCACGTTAATTTCGAAGCCCACAATGCTCTATATCATTTCAATCGGATTCAAAGTTGGAGAATATGGAGCAAGTCTGAGAATGATCACTCATCCTCCGCCAACGACGTTTTCCAGTTTAGAGCGACAGGGCGCGTTGTCATACCCAATCACATACGATTTGTTCTCTTCCTGCAATAATTGATCAGTGAGTGTTTCGAGCATTTCAGACAGAATACGGAGTTGTAGGATCCTCTTGTCAGAGTATAGTTCAACAACCCATCAGCATTCATAGCACCTACGATGTACAGATTTCTTCCTCTTGAACTGGCCAGTGAGATCGGGCACCGTTGACCTCTTGATGCAAGCCATAAATTTGTTGAATAATGTTGATTGAAGTTGGTTTCATCAATCCATATAATCTCATGTCCATGTGCCTCGTACCATTGCAAGTGTTGAACATATCTAGGAAGAAACTCAAAAACAGGTCGGCATATCACCTTTGCCTCCTCTCTTTATTATTCAGTTAGACCATCATTACCGGTATTTAACGAATCTTTTTGATTGTACTCCATTTTCCATCTAAGTAGTTGCTGATGGTTGTGATGGAAACTTCTTTATTGTATTCTGTCTTGATTTTCCTCCGTAGAAACGACAGTGTTACAGTCGAATTCTCCTCAATCCATGAAATGAATTCCTCTATATGATGGTTTGATAACTTGTTGAACCGTCTTCCTCTGTGGGTTAATTCTGATGGTTCTTCTTGATGTCTCCTTATCCGTGTCATCGCTGTCCTTTTCTTCGCACAAAGTGAGGCATCAACAATCAACCAATCATCGCCTTTGTCGTACGCTCGTAATATAGTATACTTACGGCCCATTGCTAGATGCCACAGCACAGAAATTAGATGTAACTGTCAAGCGGTAATTCACAGGGTGTTTATATCAGGTTAGTAAACTAATCCACCAATGATTATTGTATTTTGGAACAGGAATCCGTATTTGCCAATGTTCCTCTTGCTTATGGAAACTAAAACACAGTTGAAACAAGCCTTTCCCGAGATTAATTTGAAAAGGAAAGACCATATTGCAATACTGCACGATTTATGTCCAGGACGATTTCGCTGCATCTCAACATGGTGCATACTGCAGAAAATACTATGTTTATATAGGGTTTTAGCATAGCAACAGAGTGAGGCAAAATACATTAAAAACAGACAAAACATAAAAGAGGGAGGGGTAAAAGGACCATATCACCAGGGTAGGGAGAGACTAACATACAGTTCTTTTTGCTGGCACAGGGCTTCCACCGATTAATCGCAATTGCTTCAGCAAACCTTAGCAATCTTGCGACTTGTGACTTGTAAACAA